TTTTCAACAACATCACAAGTATCAGCCATTATTGTATTCACTATACCATAACGAACAAGCTTTTCTCAAATCTATTCAATTTTCATTTTCATTTTACCCGATGGAATTCAATTTTGTTTTACTAGATCTTTGTGGCTCGTTAGGGTGAGCAGAGATCATTATCATTATGATGATTTGGCTGTAGATCTTGCTAAGAGGAGTTGAAGAATTTTAAGTGATAAAAGAATTTTATCGCAGTGATCATTGAAATGTTGTTTAATTGAATGATTTTGAAGTTGATTTTGTGATATTTTTTTAATCAGTCGTTAAAAGCAGTGGATTTATTTAAGAAGAACTTAAATCTTCATCTTTTAGTAGTGATGTTCAATTAATATTTGTGTTATATGATCAAATTAAGTTATTTTCAAGAATAAGGTAAATTTTTTGTTTAAATTGAATTTTTTACAATCAAAGATTCCCATTTAACTCTTGCTTTCATTTTCAGCTTCTTTGTTCTTTAATATAAACCTAAATCAACTTGCAATTATATAATGAAGATTACAGTTAATATGATCGAACGAAAATCAGTTAAAAATCATAATTCGTAGGTTAAACATAGCGCAACTGAAAATCAGTGATGTGGTGACTCCAATCAACCTCAACGCAAACTCTTTAAGTGAAGAATCTATGCTGATCTATTCAGCTTTTTTCACGATATTCTGATCATGATATTTTAAAGTCTCACAAAAGGAAACTGCTACAAACTTGAGTATCTATGTAACAGCACAAGTCGTTTTGTTAATCAGATTTATTTCATTCGCTTCTTATGAAAAATAGGACGTAGTGAATCAGTGAACGCTTTTAACATTTTAAACAAGAGAAAAAATTTCGCATTTAACATTTTTCACAGAGTTAAAGCATTTGTTAAAGTATGTAATAAGGGAAACTACTAGTTTTTGAATATAAAACATCATCAAACCGGTTTCAAGGGAAAATCATTCATTACTTCCTAGATTATTGGTCTATATAGCTGTTCTTCCTCATTATCAAAGCAAAAATTCATAAATCCAAAACCTAGTTTAGGGTAAAACATGTTGAAATTTGTGTGTTTTTGCACATGAAGATTTGATTTGCAAATAACTTGAACTCAAAAGATCAATAATTGTGGGAATTTTCAGTTAATAATGTTTTTTGAAGGATATGCTGCTTATGGGAAGAGATTTTTGACATTTTCGATCAAATGTTGAAATTTGTGCGGAAAATTTTAAAATTTGTGCGAAAAAATGTTGAAATTTGCGCGTTTTTTTGATAACAATCTTTGACATAATTGCAATTCTTATTAAATGTAAACAAACATTTTATTTACATATTTTTGGAACAGAAATTTATATTTTTGCTGAAGGAAGTACTTTGAATAAACTTTAAATGAAATTAAGAACATGAGCTGATTGAGTTTAAAGAAACATCCATTAAATCAGCAAATCCTCCATTTTTTTTGTAAATTTTATGCAGCATAGAGTTTTTACAATAGAAAGATGAGAATTACGAAATCAAAATGTTTTTATTTAAAGATCTGAAATTAAACACTAAACAGGATATAATTTTTGAATGTATGGATATTCTTGAAGTCTTTTGCATTTTTTTTTTATCTAAAATTTTAATTGATCCACGTTTTTCATTTTTATCAGCTGTTATCAGTTTTTGACTTTCAGTAGTTCGATTTATGCTATTCTTCGTAAAATCCTATAAAAACATGAATTTCATACGTATATAATATTCAGACTACCGCTATTCCATTTTCGAAAACTTCGAAATTAATTTCGAAGTTTTCGAAATAGTTCAAATATTTTTTTTCCGTTATGCATAATGTAAACAAATAAATTCCTTGAGACATTTTAAACAATAAAATCACTTAAAAAGTAATTAATAAATACAAAAATGAGCAAGTGCGCAGTCTTTAATTGTGAAAACAAACGAAAGGATGGAAAAGCATTATTTCGAATGCCTTTAAAACCTTCTCCAATATTTCTTTCATTTTGCTACAAAATTGAATTTAATTATAGACAATGTGATTCAGTTGATAGAAACCACTCCGCATCCCAAATTAAATCATCCTTTAAAGCAGCAGTGAAAGAAATTCCAACTAGTTTTAAACACTGCATTTTGATATTTGAAGACTTTTTTAAGGATTTTTTAAATTTTAGATTGAAGTTGTCTCATCAGAAACGTTTTTTAAATCGAAAGGAGCTGTTTGCATCAAAGTTTAAATGAATAATCTGATTTAGCTTTCCTTGATTTTAACTGTAATTTTGTTTTTGAATTCAAACGGTCATTTTTTTTGAATCATACCAAATTTTTTTTGTCCATTTTTCAAAAAATAACGGTCGTTTTCGGAATGGCGGTAGTCTGATAATATTTGTTATTGACAAAAATTCCCATCGCTTTCTACGACAAAAAGCGCACAAATTTCAAAATTTGTAAAAAAAAATCGCACAAATTTTAACATTTACAATCAAAAAATTTTTAAATCAATTTTTAAAGCACTTCCAATGATTTTTATAACTTGAATTTCTTTTGAAACAGTAAAGCAATTATCAAATTTTATATTAAAACTGTGATTTGATTACAAGCAGCACGAAATTTTATATTAAAACTGTGATTTGATTACAAGCAGCACTGGTTATGTCCAAATATTTATAAATATGAAAATCACAATTTTGTATGGGATTTTAAATTTTTCAAATTTAAAGCTGCTCCAAGCTTCGAGACTGTTCAAAATGATGTAGAAATGTTTGTACATTCGTTTTACATAGAGCTGCAAACAAAATTTTGGTTTAAATGGCTTATTTGGGCTGATTTCTTTTTTATGTGAGCGCACAAATTTCAACATTGCACAAATTTTAACATGGTTTACCCTACAAGATATTTTTAAAATTTAAGGTTAATTCTGATCAACCATATCTAAAACCTCAAATAAATAGTTGGTTCACATCAGCATTAACTTAATAATCTCCAACAACCGAAAGATTATGCTATATTCATCCAAACTTACGATTTTCTAGTCCAATTACCTCAAAACAAAATTTGATCCTCAAAATCATAAGATCAACAAAAATTGAAATTTATAGGACTTAGAAAATGTCTATCTCATCCCCTCACTGTACAATAAATAAATATTTTATTATGATAAAATACTTTTGCTTGTTATTGTTGAATCGAGGATTCTATTTTCTTCTTTCACACACAGTTGGCAATCTCTCTCACATTGCTTTCTATTTCCTTCTTTTTTTTCGAAATATAAGCAGAAAGAAAAACCTTCCTTGCATAAATATATATTGTTCCTATACATGTATAATTGTTTGTCTGTATTAGTGTAAATGTGTAGTCACAAGTACGACAAATTAATGCCTTCTCGCTCACACAAATTGTCGCCATAGTAACATTCACTGAAACGATCCTGATTGGCCAATTGAGAGATGGCTCATCAGTTGATGCTTATTCTTTCCATTCAACAGAGTACGCTGAGGGGATGACGGATGATGAAGGATGCCGAAGGTGAATCTCTGACTAAGTTTTTTCTTTTAAGAATTTTCCTAGCTGAGGAACAGAGAAAGACTGAGTTGATGTTTGTTCTAAACAACATAAACATGGTACAGAAGCTGCATGACGTAGATTTCTTTCATCCCGCTCTGAATACAGCAATACAATGAAGACTGAAACTAAAGGAGAATTATTTTTGGCATCACAGATGGATGTTAAGTGGGTACGAAGAGGATGAGACATTTCCAGCCTTTCGATTTAACAAAATTGTTTGCGTAATAAAATAAATTTTTGGGGTGTAAAGAAAATAACATGAAGGGGGTGGCATTGTGAGAGAGAGCACAAAAAACAGTGGAGGTTATAAAACTGTGGACTCTGATTGTGTTAGTGCAAACTTTGTGTATACATGATATTATTGTTAGAGGGAAAATGTCAGTCGAAAATAAAATAAAAAAAAAATTGAAAAAATGCTCGAAGGAAGTTGGAAAATGTAAATATTTTCAACTTGAAATCAAAAGCTTTTCATTCCACTTCTCTTCGCTTCTGACGTTCTCAAATTTTACAATGAAAAGCGACATTAAAAAAATTTCCTTCAACAATTTCCTTTTCTTCCTTTTTATAATGTTATTGAAATGAATAAGAATGCGGAATAGAAGGAGAGAATAAACCCTCAAATATATTGTATTCATTCCTAACGGCAACCATTTTTTAAAAAGCAAAATTCTTTTGATGTCTTTTAGATGGAAAAATGTAAAGAAAAACGTTTATGGAAAATCTTGGGCAGGAAAATTAATTATTTTTTCTTCATATTGTTTTGCTACTTTTGTTATTTGATTAAATTTTGAGATTTTTGTCATGCTTTAGTTTTGATGACTCACTGAATAGTTGGTATGCTGGCTAATATGACCAGATTAGTAAATGTTTTGAGAGTTTCATAAATTTTATAAAGAGGAAATTAGGGTACAAACTTGTAATGAAATTTGAACTTGAGACAGAATAGTTTTAAAGGTTTGCGAACCACAGTAAACTTTAAACTGTTCCGATACAACTTAATGCTTGGCCCTCGAGTTGTTCAATTTTTCTCTTTTCAATTATGTTAAAGTATTTCATCAAATTTGTCAAAAATCTAGATTAATTGTTATTTTTTGTGTTTCCGTTCTATTTTAAACATCAATTCTTAATAACTAGAACTCAATATTCATTCATATTGATCCAGATTCATTTCTTAAGGATATGTTCAAACTTCCCATTCTTAAATATACTTTATTGACAAATCCATCTCTTTATGAACGAAAAAGTTAAGCATAATTGAGTTTGGATTATAAATAACATCAATGTACAGAAAATTCTTCAAACGAAGAACAACTTTTTGAGAATTTTTCCTTCTTTCAGAGATTATTTCTGTGTATTGAACACAAATATTTTCGTTAAACATCTTCAACGACGAACATATATTGTACAAAAAGAAAAGGAGAAAGGTTAAGGATCATAAAGTGCTGAGGATTTATTGAAAAATAATCTTTTACATTGTTTAAAAAAAAGAAAGGTTCTTTATTTACAAAACAGACTTATTGAGTATGAGCAATAATAATTCACAACAATTTCCATGTAAGCAGGCCGATTATTATGTGAATTCCAATGCCAAATATTTCAATTCGTCCAACTCCGCTCTTCAGTGCTATTGCATTACGTCCCAAATTTTTCTTATCCATTTCGAAAATTTTGAATATTGTCGTGGGTCGTCGATTGTACTTCTTCATAACTCCATTAAAATCCGATGGCATCCTCGTGCATTGATTGTCACTAAGGCTGACAATAACCTCATCACTGTTTCTGGCCAAAATGCACATATCAATGTTTTGTTCAAAATCAATTCCCTCTAATTCGCCACTCGTAACATTTCCAATTCTCGTGTCATAAGCAAGAATTTTCTCCAATAAAATTTTATTTTTACCATCACGAAAATGTAAATAAAAGTCAGCAATATCTTTTGATACGGATGAAACGTACCATTGAATAAATAACGATCCACGAGTGCTATTTGGAAATAAAAGAGAACAATAAAAATAAAAGTTATTCAAAAAAGGGAAAATGCATGTGTATGTACATAATAAAGTAAGCAGAAAAGAAGTGAAAAATTAATTTTAGCTTTTGTCGTATTGTTTGGAAGGGATTGATGAAAGTGGAGAGAATGGAAATGCAAAAGAACAATTTTCCTTTGTTTGGATGTTGTAAGTAAGAAGCGACAAGAGTTGGGTTTGTTGAACTTTAAATGGTAAACGAAAATGAAGTTATTTTTAGTGAATTTACTTCCAAAATTCCGTTTAATCAATTGCTGGTCAATTTTCTAAACTTTGACAATCAGTTCGTACTAGTTTTTCCCTTCCAACTCTGAAAATTGAACCCTTTGTACTCTTTGAAATGATTGTTTTCTTCTATTGCTGGATTTAATGTTGTGGAGTGTATTATGTAGCACTTGATAGAACCTACAGCTTTAAAATTACCACGAGCCTTATATATAGAATCAATGATAGCTACCGGCCTGTTTCACTAAAGTGGATTATCCTCGATTTCGGATTATCCACATCAGTTTTTTGTAAATATCTTAAACTTTATGGGAGGTGTGGTATTTCTTAAGAAGTATTAATTATTCAATTTTCTAGCCAAATCTGGTAGATTAATTTCGATTTTCGCTATAATTCTCAAACGAATGAAGATATAAAAATTCTGAGTATATGTTAATTTAAGTAGCAAAGTAAAGTACTCTTAATAGATCACACATTAGATCTCTTAATAACCTTAAGAATCTGGAGATATTTCCAAAAAACTGAAGTGGATAATCCGAAATCGAAGATAATCGACTTTAGTGAAACAGGCCGTACATTATCAAAGCTTGTGCGTCAAAACACTATTCTATCCAATTGGAACTGACATTATCAAATCTAATATTGTTAAAAAAAGGTTTTGAAACTCAATGAACTTGCAGTTAACGGCCTACTGACTTGCCCGGGGGAGGAATCGATCCAGCATCTGACTTTCGATAACACAACCATCCTCCTAAGCTATTAGAAGTGACCAAGGAGCTAAGCTATTTTAATTATCTTCTACTCTAGTCAGTAGCTTTGATATTATCGATGATGGATCTTTACATGGTAACCTCCTTGATACCTAATCTAAAATATCATTTATAAACCTCAAAATACTTACTAGAAAATATCCCTAAATCGTATATCTGGCAGAACTTCATACTCATGATTAATCTCTTTAATTTTAGACAATTCTAATTCTGAGCATGTCAATTGCTGATCTCTAACTTCATGGAGTGTTAATTCTGCAACATGTTTAGGCTGTTTGCACACTAAATTTGAGTATTGTTCAATTGGCTTCGGTTTTTCGAGCAAAAAGTGCTTTAAAGAGCGAATTTCACAGTTGCATGTTAATGGATTTCCTTGAAACTTCACAGACAATCCCTTTTTAATTTCATCAATTAATGACTTATTTAAATGAATTAATTGATTATTTTCCACATTAATTTCATTAAGCTTTTTTGCTGATAAAAGTTTATCGTAGTTCAGGCGATAAATATTATTATTCTGAAGGTAAAGTTTGGTAATGTTTTCAGGCATTTCAAATGGATGGTCAGGATCGTCCATATTTGTTAATCGATTGTTTGACAAATCAAGAATTTCCAGCTGTGTCAAGTTTCCAAGAACGAACTTACGGACTTCATTAATTCCATTATTTGATAAATTCAGAAATTTCACTCGTTTCGTACCAAATGTTATGTCGAATGTGAGTACGGGGATTATATTGAAGCTTAAATCGAGTTTCTCTAGCTTATATGGGAACCACGGATTTGATGGAAACATTTTACGTGATATAAAGCTGATTTTATTGTGATGAAGTTTAAGCTACAAAATAAAAATTAAATTGAGTTATTTTTTGTTCATGGGCAATAAATCTCAATATGCAATTTACTTCCTGCAAACTCAAACAATCTTCAAAAACACTCGATGTCTTATTGTCCAACTTCTCAATAAAGTTATGTGAAAGATCCATTTTACGCAATGAAACAAGCCCTAAGAATGCATCTGTTGGAATATTTTCAATGGCATTTTTCGATAAATTTAGGGTGAGTAATTGCAGTAATCCCTCGAAAGCCTTTTTGCTGTTTATTTTTATTATTGTCAAAGAACATGAATGAATGATATTTATTGAAAATATTTGTGTATAGAATATTTACCTGATGTTATTGATCTGATTGTTATAGAGATTAACTTCAAAGAGTCCTGGCAACTTTCCGAATGCTCCTTTGGGCAACGCAGTTAAGTTATTGCTCTAAATATTTACACACGAGATTATCCATAAGATATTGACATAAATATTATTGTCATTACTCACCTCAAGTAGTAAGTACTGTAACGTCTTAACTTCAGTGAGTGCTTCATGAGGAATTTTTGAGATTCCATTGGCATTGAGATTTAATGTTTGAAGTGTAAGCAATCCAAGGAATGAATAGCCCCTTAAATTATTTTCCAATTGATTGTAGCTTAAATCGAGACTTATCAAGGCATTCATTACAGGCCATGTCTTTTCAGGTATTTCAGTTATTGAATTATTACGGAAATTGAGATGATTTAAAGATATTGGAAGTTGAAAAACTGATTCTAGATGATTATTTTCAATAGTGAGCGTTCTCAAGCTTGCTAATTTTGCTAATGATCCTCTTGATACTTCCTTTAATTTATTATTACTTAGATCTAAATCTAACAATGTGGCAAGAGTACCAAATGTCGATGGTTTCACTTTTTCCATTGAGTTGTAACTCAAATTCAAATTTCTCAATGAAAACAATGGCATGAGAACCGCATTGGATATTTCACTTATCATGTTGTGTGATGCATCAATTGTATGCAACTCATAAAGTTTAGGAAATGTATTCTTCGGAATGTCGGCAATGAAATTATAGGAGACATTAAGTAATCTCAATCCAGTCATGTTTTGTAATGGAATTTGTGACATGTTTGTGAATCTGTTGTATGACAAGTCAAATGTAGATGCATACGTGTTGTCATCGAAGGCTGCCTTTGGAATATTTTCAAGTAGATTATGAGATAGATCCAGCACCGTGATATTGTTACAATTGATGAAAGACTTTGGTTCAATCTTACTCAGCGAATTGTACGAGAGGTTGACAGTCGCTAGATATAGATCAGTAAATGCTTGTTTCTGTATCTCTGTTATATTATTCTCAGCGAGGTCGATGAGCTCAGCATATTGCAATTGTGCAAACATTTGGTAATCGACTTTTTTTAATTGATTTCTTGCCAAGTCTATTGTGCCAATTCGTGTAACAGAACCAAATGTTCCACGACCAACGTCTGTGATTTGATTATCGCTCAAATAAATTCGCCTGAAAAATAAAAGACAATGATCATTGTATTTTTGGACATTCGAAGAGAAAATGGCAAGTTTAAGTTACCTCAAAAATCGCATCCCACGTAGACTGTTTGCATCTAGTCTCTTAATATTATTAAATGCTAAATTTACAATTTTCAATACGGCATTTCTGGTGAATGCTCCTCTCGACAACTCCGTCAATCTATTATTAGAAACATTACAGAACGCTAGCTTCGTTAAGTCAGCAATGTGACTTGAGTCTAATTTAGCAATGTGATTAAAGCTAATGTCAAGCAACTCCACATCACGTAAACCTCTAAATTGATTCTTTTTTAACACGGCTATGTGATTACCATGGAGGTCAATGGTCTTTAATTTCTTCAAATGCTGAAATGTATTCGCTCCAATCTCCGTCACATTTCCATTTGTTATGTACATCTTCTCTAATTTCGCAGGCAATTGACTATCATCAAACTCATTGTTGTTTAGTTCTTTTATCGAATGATGATTTAGTTCCAAAAATTTCAAATTGCCAAGCGACTTAAAAGCATCTCTCGGGAATTCCGTTAGACTCGAGTTAATTATTCTCAACTCCTCCAATGTCTCATTAATTCCCCAAAAGATATGATCTTTTATGGACTTTATAGGTACATCATAAATTTTTAATATTCTAGCATTTGATTGATGGAACATAGTTCCATAAAGGTTAACAAAATTTGAGTCTCTTATCACAACTTCTTCTACTTTTGAGCCATTAAGACCGGCTATGTTCTGAAATGCAATTGATAATGTTGCAAGATTTCCTCCATCACATTTTATGTACAGTCCAATATCACTTCCTCTATCACATTTACATGGGAAAATTTTACTTTCTCTGGAATAATTAAAATTAGTTTTTGAGGTTTAATGGATGTACTAGGATATGTCTAAGCTAGTGCTTCTCAAACTATGGTCAACGAATGCATGTCAATACACCAAAATCGTCATGGAATGTATGTCAATACACCAAAATTAGATTATATAATTGATTTCCTGTATCATTGGCAGAAAAAGGTTGAGAATCACTGGACTAGACATTTAATCTTCTACATACTTGGCTGGGCATTCATATTTAGGTCCCGGTGGGATGTAAACAGACGATACAAAATTGGCGACGAGTAAAAATGTTCCAATAGATTTATAGGTCATCATCATCTGCAAATAATTAAATTAGATCAATCGCGTGTGTGAAGATAAAAATCATAATTAATGTGATTCGCAGGTGCTATTGATATTTAATAATACAGTTTCTCGCTATCTCCCACACTGCATGTGTATGAGAAAGTTTCATTAATTTGTAAAGTTATTTTTTTATGGAAATAGGTAATAATTTTAATTGCAAGCTTATGGATCATTGTACTTTGTGTTTTTGTGACCTGAATTTTGGTTTTGAATCTTGAGGTTGATGTGGTTTTGAGATAATCATCTGAATGGGTATATTTTGTGGCTAAAAGCGTCGTTTGAATGTTAAAATTGGTGATAAAATTTAGAATGCAATTTTTGTTGGCTTTAAATAATATTTTAACTTAGTTAAATGCTGCTGTTAAAGAAGATTGTGTAGCAACAACACTTAGACTCTTGATATGTCTGCTATATATTTATAAGAGGGCAATGAAGACATACATTATAGAATAAAGATTCAAGACTTTTAGTCTTCTTGCTAGTCAGATTCCAGATATAGCTTTCAGGTATAACAAGCCATCAGCTCCCACCCCTACAATTGCCTTGAATATGATGCGAAATCACATCTATTGATGATTAACGAAGAAAATACTTTAGTATGAGTCATTTGATGCTGAATATTAAAATAAAGTAAAGTCAAAATAACTTGATAGAAAAATCATTGGCCCGATTTTAGGTCCAATTTGCAACTTTACATTTCTATAGATTTATAAATTAATCTATTCCTTCATTTTGCACTAATTGGTGTCTCTTAAATCGCGACTTTATTCTTCCTACTACGCCATTTACTAAAACCAATCGAAATCACAATTCTAAACATTAAGATTTGCTAAATTCAAGATCCTGTTTGCCAAGAAGATCTCGAACAAAGTTCTTTAATTTCAATTGTTTTTGACTATTGTTGTCTTGACTAATTTAGTTCTAATCCAATGCATGCATGAATCCGTTCTTTGTAATTTCCAAAGAACACAATAAGGAAGTACAAAATTTACATTCTTAAAGTTATAAATTATCCAAGTCATGCAACTCTTCTCATGCAGATCGTCCCAGTAACGACCGCAGGTAATTAATTAATCCAAAAGTTTCCGAAAAATCAACAGAAGAAATTATTGCGTAATAATTCGGCATATTTATGGACTTGTTCATAAATTTTTCATCTCCCGCTTTCATTTATTACTTTTTGGTGTTTGATTTTCGTCGAAGAATAAAAAGCTGTGAGGTTCAAATGCAATGATGTAATTCCAACAATCAAAATATAATTGAAAATGACTTCGTGCAGCATGATCATGGAAAAAGTACTGAATTAAGACTTAATTATGTTGACACTTTCACCGAAAAAAAAAAACAAAGACGCAATAGATTCATTTACATACACATGTGTGTAGTCAATACCTTACTTGATGAATTGTTGATTTATAAAGAAAAACTTTTGAATTTTCTCTTTCAATTTCTTTCTTATTATTAAATTTGTACAGCATAAAAAGAAGTTAATGATAGATTCAATAAACTTGCAAGTAAGCAACAGAAAAGAAAAGAATCTAGTTTATAAGCATATTGATTGGTGGTGTGTGCCACTACACTTCATGCTCAGCACAGCGAGACAACAAGTTATGCGAAAGAGAATAAAATGCTATATTGAAATGGAACAAAGCATTTGCTGAAGGTCACAAATCATTCAAAGTTTAAAAAAAAATTGCCTCTTTCAAGTGCTGCGCTAGGGGATTAATGAGATGCAATAAAAAACTAAGTCACTTACAATTAATTTTATGTCTTTACAGGAAGAATAAGATTTCTCTTTGTTGCTTCAAGACACTTTAAATGATTAATGAGTGAACAGCTACTTTCGTGCAATTATTAGGCAACGACGAAACACAAATTTTAATCGTTGATAAGCAAAATAGTTGCTTCAGGTAAGATCTTAAGTCTGTCAATTTCACTTTGATATGATCTCATTTTTTTTCATATGAAATTTCTTTTACATCTTCTCACTTTTGTTTACTGATTCACATCCACAGAACTATTTTAAAGTAAGTATTTTGGTAATTTTACTATTTAAAGTTCCAATAAAAAATTTTAATTTCACACCCAACAATTATAAAACAGCAAAAAATTACTAGAAACTTAACAATTTTTAAAGCCAACCGATTGCGTCAAGACACAGCAAGAAAGTAAATGTTAAAGAAAACTTTAAAAAACCTGAAACAGCACTCAGAGCGAGTGTTGTGAGCTCAATGACGTCGAAAAAAAATATGAGAAATAGAAAGAAAACCGGTTTTAGTGCCTATAGTATTTTACTTTCAATTACTCACGTGCTCTTTCTCTCCGTGCATGCTTCCATAGTACTCACTAATGCTGAGAAGAAGACCATATAGCAGACAGATGATAATGATGAGAAGGAAGCAATCAAAACAAAAAACGGTTGTAAGAGATCTTGACGTCATCAAAGCATGCGAGAATTTCGTTGTTGTTAAACCGGTGATGAATGTGTTCCAGTAATAACGTGTAAAGTGAATGAAATTTATCATTTTTTATATAATTGAATCAAAACTCAAGATTACACTTGAAACAAAAGAAAGACAAGACAATGACGAGTTGGGAGCATCGAAAAGATACACGAGTGGTGACTTGAAGATTGAAGATCTTATTTGCGAGGAATAAAAGCGCTTTTTCAGGTTTGTAAGGAGTATTACAAAGTGATTTAAACGATAGGAAGTATAGACTAGATTCTGCAATATTTTAACATTTTGTTATGTACCGTTATGCAATAAGTATTGAATATCATTGCATACTTGATTTAAAAGTTTTGATTTTTATTAATTCATGAAGAAAAGTTGAAAATGATGTAATTAGGCAGATATCATTAAAAAATTAAAAAAGTATCCTGTTAAAGTTTCTGTATGATGTTTTAAAAACAAGCAGCTTATAAGCGTGGAACGGACAGTTTTTTAAGAGGAAGTCTTTCAGTTACTTGTTAAATAATTCACAGCAGCAATGGTATTCAAATGATTAAGATAGCTACTCGTGATACACAAATATATAGATGTAAACATGCCATTACATGTATTATCAAGAACAGAACTAGCTTATACGGCCTGTTTCACTAAGGTGGATTATCCTAATTTTAGGATTATCTATTTCTTCGATGCAAGGAAAATCCAAATAATTTCTTTCTGATTTAGAATTGATTGGTTAATAATAATCAAGCTAGTTTGAGAAAAATCATTTTTCTTTTATAGTGAATATAGCGAAAAAATAATTTTAGTATATGGATTATCCTTAGATTATCCTAGGATAATCCTGAAGATTATCCGAATTTTCAATCTTGGTGGGACTCAGTTTTAACATTTTAGAATAATTATGTGGATAATCCTAGGATATGTCGGCCGAATATGCTAAATTTTCTTCAAATTGATAATATAGTATGCTTTAATTTGACATAGGTATAGCTGAAAAATTTGATAAATGATGTAAGATTAAAAAGTTTTAAGCAAGTTTTTTTAATTTTTTGATAAAAAAATCCAGTAAATTGAAGAAATTTCTAGTCATGGCCGTGCATGGTATAAGTTTTGAACCTTAAAACCAAATCTTAACTAGAGGCTTATCTACAAGCGTGTGAGATAAAATTCCAAAAATGTAAGTGGCTATCAATTTTAATTTTAACAATGATTTCTCGCTCCAAATGAAAATTAATTAATCGGTTAAAATGCTGCTAAGAGACATTAGACAAACTAAATGTTTCAACAACTACTTTTCTCATTAGGAAAAAAAAAACAACAACAGCCAATAGATTTAGATCTGTACTTCTGTGTGTCTGAAAAAAAATGTGATTAAAACGCTTTCATTTTTCTTTATCTACCGCAATTTTATTGTTATTTCTTCACTGTTCAACATCTATACATAATTTTAATAACTTCTTTTCACATAAAATTTCGCATTACTTTTCGTAGGGCTTTTTTCTTTGTTAATAAAACAATCTTAAACAGCTTAACATTTCTTTTCTTTGTGTAAAATAAAATATATATAAGAAAATTATCGTAATTAAAAAATCAAATATATAAAATTTTAATACTTTGGCATTTAACGTTTCATTGTAAACATGACTAGAAATGATAATCGTTTATCGGATTTTCATACCTTTTAGTTCCATTAGGTTAATCTACGATAATACTGGTAATTTTTTGAGGCTCACGACATTTAATGACATTAAATTAATTTTAATCATAATTCTCTGTTTTTTTTTGTTAACTTTCTCTACAAATTTCATATTAATTAACTTCATTTTATTAGTTTAGATACCTACAAGAACGACTAGGCTTAGTAAGTACAATTTAAGATTCTTCATCGCTAGATTCTTGGAAAATAATCTGTTCAGACCACCAATCATGAACTTCAAATGCTAGATTGACATTATGATTTGTAACATTGTGCGGCTGTTCCATAATATTTCCATGAACTGGATGGTGCTGATGATGAAAGGACAGATGATGTGACATTTCGGTCAAATGTGGTAAGTGCTGAGCTTTCATTGTTGGCTTAACAGCCTTTTTCTTACTATCTGGAAATCGATCCTTATTTGCTCGAGCTTGTGGATCTGATAATGTTGGTGCTAAGAATTTTCGACCACTTCCCGTTGAATCTGACCGACTTAGTTCTGTTCTAGTTGGTGGTGCCTTCTTTCCTCGATTTTTATCAACTTCCTTAACTTCTGCTTCAGCTTCGGCTTCTTTATCTTTCTTCTCCTCAATATATTCATTTTTTGGAATTATTTCATTCGTTGCACGTAATCCAGCCATCAATGAATTTGACTGCTGTTGTTTCTGTTTCCAATAGACAAGAAAAATAGTTAAATATGGTAAATTAGACAGAACAAAGCAATTTACCGCATTATTAGCACGAATTTTCTTCATGCAGTTCTCAAGCCACGACCGAATTGTTTGTTTCGCCACTTCCTCCTCTATTATATATTCCAGCTCTTCTCGTGCCAATAATTCCTCAAGCTGAAGTGACTTTCTTATGTCAACTGAACGATATGAGAGCATACTAATGAGGAAGACATAGAAATTACTCAATTAATTTATAGAATGTAGATATGGGTTTGTGGCTTGTATGAAAATTTTCTCGAGCAGCCAATGGCATGCTGAACCATTAAAACTAAAGTTCTTTGGCAAGCAATGCTCAAAAATTTTAAAATTTAAAGTTTCTCATATTGCACACAACAACTTACTTAATGACATCATGGAAGGTGACATCTTCGCCATTATGTAACTTATCCAGCTCATAGCACATGTATTTGAATAGTAATCTATCCTTTTGTGGATCGACTTCCAAGCGACCTTTTAACAATCTTAAAATGAACTTGATTCGTCGCACTGGAATCACTCCGCGTTGATGAATGTCAACAATATTCCATGTGTTTTGAAAATTTCTGATGTCAGCATAAGACAGCAGTGCGTCTTCTTCATTCGAGTAAAATAATGAAAAGTTCTCCATAATAATAGCTGTAGTGGATATAAAAATTCATTGTTAATGACGGATCTGCATAAATTATTGTTGGCTTAATTAATCTCACCGACAAGAAGGTTAAGTACGATATAAGTGATGATGACATAGAATGTGCAGAAATAGACAAGACTTGCTGAAAAATTTCCACAATCTGTCTCCCAGAAATTCGGACCAGGTGTGCAGTAAGGAGGCTGTATCATACAGTCGTGCATAATTTTATTCCAATCTTCGCCTGTGACAATTCGGAAAAGCATAGCAACTCCAGTTATTGGAGTTCCAAAATTTGCTCTACGTCCAATTTGTTCTCCATGCTTTACTGTGCCAAATAAGATGGTTCCAGCTAGTGCATAGAAGAAGACGAGGAGGAACATTCCGAAAATAATAAAGAATGACTTGCAGACGGATACAGCAACAGTAAGAATCAGCATTTTTAAGGTTGAGTGCTTGCCAGTGATTGTGAAGAATCTAAAGAAAATTGTATAAATTACTGAATCTACCAAGGATGACAATTTAACGATTCTTACCTCAAAATCACAACCATGCATCCTAAGAAGTACGTAAGTTCATTTCCTATCAATAGCTGCATAGTTATCCAAACAATTCCAAGAACTGTGACTGTCAAATCATACCGATTTCGTCTTGACTGCCAATATCCACGGATCTAGAAATAACGGCAATATTTAGTTCCATTCAAGTTATCGATCAAGTTCCTGCTTACCGTGAATGCAATATTTTTCATAACAACTTCAAATACGAAAATCATATTCAGCACTATGCTGACCATAACTAAACTCTCTGTCTGCGTATCATCCTTAATCCATGTTATGCAAAGTAATGCGGAATTAAGTAACACTGAGACAGCAATCAACCGTTTGAATGCAATATGTTGTGTAATGTCATAGACAAATGCTCTAAATTGCTTCCCGTCTGGTCTTGGCGGCAAATGCAATGGCTGGGCAATCTTCAGTCTCTTTTTCAAGTCACACCAACGTCTTTGATCGACTGTTAATAGTGCTGTTCCTTTGTTCTCGGAATAATTTGCAATTACAACGCCTACGAACAATGTCAGGCCAATCATGCATCCTAAGAAAATATAGATGTGGATATAAATAGCATGCATTGGACCAAGCATTTTTATAAGAATATCTCGAACATCAAGCCATCCTTTGAACGAAAGGACTTCAAATAGTGCCAACATTGCATCTCCAATAGAATCGAAATTGAATCTTCTTGGATTCGCCCAAACACGAGGAACTAACATTGCTGGATAACTTTCATTTGCTCTGGGTGACAGCTTCATCTTAGTAACAAAAACTCGTCTCATGAAGACTCCAACACAATCTTCTCGTTTTTGAATTGTTGGATCATTACAACGGGCAAGTCTGCCTCCATATAACTGGACTCCGTAACTTGCAAAAACGAACATCAACATGATCAACATTGTGGATACGAGTAAAATCTCTTTGAAACCTCTACACAATTCATAGACCACTTTCCTCATATGTGGAACTAATGTAAATATTCTCAATGGACGTACACATCGTAAAATCATCAACCATTGTGCTGGTGAACCGCTCGGGACTTGTCTTGGCATCCAAAATAAGAAACCTGCTGATACAGAAAATATAAAGACATCGAGCAATGCAGCAACATCTTTTATGTAGGCTTTTGGTGTGAAGAATAGTCCGTCTGCTAAAATCTTTAATGATATTTCAAGGGCCATGAAGATGACAAAGATATATTCAGCCATTTGTAATGAGACATGATCCATGACACGATAATGAGGATCCTCAAACATCATGCTGATACATGAAAGTGTTGTGACCCAAATCATAGTCCAGTCAAGATAAGTGACAAGTCCCAAGAAATTATGAAGTGTTTTGTATTGAACTTTACGATCCTTTGTTGGTGCATTGTACCTTCCATGAACAATTTTTTGACATATTTTACGGAATCGACTCTCTCGTGGAATGGCAAAAAGTGGAGTGTCGAAAAATGGATGATTTTCTCTCAAATCCTCTTCTCTCTGGTTCCTCCTCATTTCTGCTTGTTGCCTTTTAGCTTGCAATAATTTTATATCCAAGTCATGTGGACGAACTCTTGTTGTAACTCGAGTAGCTGCTCCTATATCTCCATTCTCCATTAAATGTTCATACGTTTGCTTTAACTTGATTGACCCACTTCTGACACTCCTACGAATTGACCTTGACCCAAATTTCTTCTGATCTACTCTCCATCCTGCTTTAGTTTGGATTGTTCCTTGAGATTTAAGTCCACTTTTAACTCCAGTGACTGGAAGCATAGCTGAATCACCTAACATCAATCTCTGATTATTTGAATCATTTATAATATGAGTAATTGCTGACTTTTTCAAATTCGGTCCAATTGATCTTACTTTTAGTGTTCTAGACATCAATCTTAATGGTCTTTGCTTTCTAAATCCAATATGTGATTCCCATACTTCTGAAACTGGCTTCTTATATCCTTCTGAGAACTCATCTTGCTCCATGTCAATGACAAAATTTTTCATAAAAGATTCTCGAACTTTTGGAAGTGTAAAATCGGAAGGAATTCGATGTAAAATTGTCATTTGTGGAGAGTCTGGAAATTTTTCAAAAATCCTCAATCGGAATGGCAATGTCTCTTTAATTTCTGCACTCTGTTCTCTGAACTTTAACTGCTTCAATTTCTTTATATCCTCGTCAAGTTCCAAGTTGTCTAAGATGACAGCGACGAACAAGCTCAACACGATGAGTGTGACGAACAAGTGATAGAGTATAAAGTATATAGCAACAAGTGGTGTGAGTTTCAATGGCGTTCTTATCATTGTCTCGTCCATAACTTCAACCCATGCTTCCTGCGTGAGAATCTGGAACATACTCATGAATGCCTCGGGAAAGGATTCAAACTTAGTAAAGTCACATAGGAAGCAGAACAATTGCATTGAAATACTAGAACTGATAATCAGCAAGCACATAGTGAATATTATCAGTGATCCGAGCTTCTTGCCAGGTCCGAAGATTTTGTAGACGAAACCTTCTAATATCGGCGATGCTTTAATGAGACGAACTACTCGTAAAACTTGGAAGTACGTTAATACTGATAAATAGAACAATGGAATGATATGCAATGATGTTCCAATGGCTAATAGTAGTTCAAATTTATGTATTGAGTGCTTTAAATATCCACGAAATCCAAGACACCAAACTTTGAAAATTGTCTCAAGATCAAAGAAGATTGTAAAGATAATTTCGATGTAGTAATATTTTTCATAAAATACTTCTCGTGGCCTTCCATCGTGCTTGAAAGTCATTGTTGCCATTACTAATCCATTTGCTAAAATAACAGTCATTACGATTGTTCTAAAATACGACGACTTGATAATCCTGTGGCATGTTTCATTGGCTGATCCATGTTTTGAGTCATCGATTGTTATTAACTTCCATCCACTATCATCTCCAATAAGCGTGTGTGATGCACTACTATTTTGTATCTGACTTCTTACTCCCCACATTTGTTGGAATTGGACACGAATTTCATTGAATGTTTCTGTGATGACAGCAATGAAAACATTCTTGACCAACCATGCAAGGAAGAAGATCATTGTACTAAAGTAGAAGACTGCACGCCATGCTGGAAGTGAGTCGATTGCACGATACATGATGAAGACCCATCCTTCCTGTGATGCAGCTTGATAGACAGTGAAGACACTGGTGAAAATTTCCTCAAATCCTTGATAGCCTTGCTCATAGCTGGACAGAAAATCTGTCTTCATGCATTTCATTCCTGTTGGACATTTATATCCTCCTGATTCTGGTTTCATTGAGCAGAATGTGTCAGGAATTGCAAGATCATTGATCGATAGTGGATGTAATGAAACATTCGTTCCTTCTAAGACACAATGACTTTTTAATTCGCCGAAGAATTGAACACCAAGCAGTCCATAAAGGGCCATGAAAAAGATGAAGAACAGAGTTACATTGTAAATCTGTTGACTCGAACGCCTAAAAGAGTGTTGATTGATGAGATAAATGTTAATACTGAGGAAATTTTATGTCACTTGCTTGAAAATTTGATTAATCCTGCTTTTTGGCATAGAAAACTTCAAAAATACTCTCAAGAATCGAATCATGATCAAAGGTCTTGGTGATCTCAAAATCGACAGCGATGAAAATTTCTGCACGAAAGCAAAAATCTCAAGAACTTGTAAGATAATCGAGACCCAAAGGAAGAAGCACATGCTAGCATCAAATTGACACCATCGACTTCTTAAATATGGCTTTTCACCCTTTAAGAATCCTCTAATTGAGATTTTCGTTATCATCTCTGCTGTGTATAGTAACGTGACTAAAGAGTCGCATACTAGTGTAATAAATTTTAACGGTGGATATCTTTCGAATGTTTTTGGCGTATTGAGGCATACTGAGAGGAGGGATACGAGCGCACAAAATCGCATGAGACGTCGTACCCAAAGCTATAAAATGAGAATATATCATTACTTCCAGTTTTAGGGGAATGGTGAAACAAAATTATGGGGAGATTAATCCGAGGGGATAACAGTATGAAGGGGTTAAAACATGGAGGGGATATCAACATAGAGAGGGTTTTTCAGCATAGTTTGAAGATTCATTTCCAGCAATGCCACTTCAAACGTTGGCGTTAAGTTCCCATCATGTTGTTTTCCCCTCAAAAATTGATTAGAATTTTCCATAAAAACATATCCTGATCATGTTGTTACCCCTCAAAAGTTTTAAACTTAGTAATGACACTACTTACCCTATTAACCCATTCAACATCAGCGCTTTCATTGAGAAGTTCCTCATTCCCATAGTCAGCAAGAATTGTATCTTGCTTTATTGACATTTTTCTCCCTAGCATTTTTATTATAACTTAATTTTGTCGATAAATAACTCTTTTATTTTAAAATTTTATTGGCACTTCATTTTTGCTGTGAAAATTCCAAAAAATAAAATTTTCATTTTTCCATACTCCATTTCAACAATTTTCCCTTCTTCCATATTTTTTTTCATGGAGGAAGAATTTTCCTCAAATGAAAAAATGAATTTTCACAGTGAATCGATGAAATTGGAAGATAATTCCTATTAAATCACGACAAGCTCAGCTTTATTCACATTTTAACGATAAAATTTTAACAAAATATTTCAATTTTCCAACATTAAAAAATTAAAAACAAAATCTTTGTTGCTTTTGGGCTAACAAAAATCGACTTTTCTAGCATCGATCGATAATTTTCATGTAAACAATTGTCAGCTGTTCGCATACTGCATTGTCATTTTTTATTAAATCTCTAATTAGAGGGTTTGTTGGGGTTTTATAGGTTTGGGAACGTAAATTAGATTGACAAGATTGAGAATCAAATTTAATAAAGTTCCTAGCTTCCGTAAATATTTCTCTAATCCAGCAACAAAAAAGCCGGATACCAAACTTTAACAATCATGAAAAATTCAAAATTAAAAACTGCTAGAATCTTCATATATACAGCAGTAGTTCTATATTACATAAAATGCTATAAAAGGGAATGTTTCACAATGCATGTCGTCCACACACTCGACTGCTATAAGAACATTCCCATTCAACAGCTGACGTTTTCCAGTCCAATTAGAATACCATAAGAAAAAAACTATACACACGCGACATCACTTGCTCATATATCCATCCCTTTGATGTTGGAGTCATTGCGGTGAAACGAATGAAACAGCGAACAATGTTTTTCATCACTCCACCAAAAAAAGGTTTATTTCGTGTATTCTGAGTGAAAATAATCAGCCGCAGTAGTAGTTTGTAAAGCATTAAAATAGTGCATTCGCGTACTTAATTGTGTAATAGCTTATTGGATATTGCTCGTGGATATTAAAGGAAATACATAATTATTTTTTGTGTGTGTCAATTATTAGTGAAAAACATGTTAACGTTATCGGCAAAGAGTGAAACACTAGTCAATGATTTTAATGATCTATCGATTAAGAATGATATTTATGACTCGCATAAGGTGAGTGAGTATGCAAATGGTGTTGATGATGATGATTCTAAATTCTATGTGCGTGTGAGAATGTTCTTAAAATAGACAAAAAAAGAAACTGGAAATTCAACATTCTCCGGCTTTCATGAATAAATTCATTCCTTATTTCTCATAATTTCTTAACATCATTGCCGAAAGCTTGAATGGAAATAAGTATCAAGTGAGATAGAGAATAAAAAAAAATTGCCGGTTAATCACACAAAAATGCCGTTGCTTCGCAATTTTGATGATTCGTACAAAATTTTAAAATGACATTCAAAAAACTTTGCGGCATGCTGCATAGAATGTGATGATACAAAATTATTTCCGGTGTCTCAATCGGCCAGCAAATCCTTTCGTTGTAACATGCTGAAATAAAACATTTTCTGAGTCACTTCCATCTCATTCTCTCATTTGTCTTCATTTACTCCTTTCAATAGACCCCTATTATTGGTACTCTTTCACTCACTCTAAGTATCGAGGAATAAGATTTCTTATTATTTTGGTGTTGAGCAAAGAAGAAGGAGAGAGAAGGCAAGGGAGAAAGAAACTCGTTATTTTATTATTTCATTTCTTTTTCTTCATCTTTAAGAAACATTTTTATTTTATATATTTATATATACATGTTGAGAAGTAGGTCGTAATGCGAGCAATAAAAGTTCAATATGTGGAAGCATTCACAGCATATACGACAAAAAATAAAATCGCTTACGAAAAAAAAATTTGTCTTTTTGTGTGTACCACAATAAAATATTAAAAAAGATATCGGGTTGTACTTCTGCTTTAAGGGAATTACGATTCACAATGCGGTATTTTGTCGTTGCCTTTTTTTCACTTCTTCTTCGTCTCACAAGTCTTAAGCTCATCCTCATGGCCAAATGAAACATTCCCATTGTTGATTAGTTTTCAATGCTGATAACGGAATTAGATCATTGATGCCATTCTTAACATTATTTTCGAATGATTGATGTGCCAATGTAATTAATTTTGACTGTCTGAATTGGATGGCAATCGTCAGGCATCGGATAATTAAGTTTATTATTATTTCGAGTGTAGTAAAATTTTTTTGAATCTGTTTGAGAAAATAAACTAATTAGTCACTGAGGCAAATTAAGTTTCCAGACACAAATGGAAGTCGTATATTGCTTGTATTTTGTAGGGTATCTTCGATGGCTGTGATGGGTATTTAAGTAGAGATTCAAAGTCAGTTTTGGTAGATCAATGACCGTGTTTGGCGCAGAAAAACAATGTTTAAAGACATGATGCTAAAACCAGCTATGAAGATGCTTCTAAGGATAATAAATTCAATACTTAAGAATAGTTTTGGCTACAAAGGAAAGCTAAGTGCTTTAGATACCTAAAATGATCATTTCTTATTAAAATATCTCCAAAATCCCAAGTCAGATCCTAAACTGAATCAAATAATATCAATTCAGTAAGCATACAGATCCCAAATATTCGCTTCTGCTGTGCAAGCAAATAAACTTCGAGCATCTCCTGTAATACTGTAATGTAATAAATTCAGAATCAGATTAAACATTGCATTACCCTTCCTACATCTGGTTTTCTTTATAACACGATAAACATCAGATCAGATATAAAGTGATTTCACCCAAAATACACCTCATTCAAACATCATCAGTAGCTTTTGTGCTTGTTTTTGTACTTACTGATGTGTGTTTTTTTTTGGATATTTGTTTATAAATAAAGTTATTTTTTTTCTGCTATCTTATCGGAAAGGCCCTCATAGAAATGAGAAGACGATAAAAAAGGCAGTTGATTCTGTCATCCATACATAAAAATTATTATTTTGTGCACATATTAATTGTATATTTTTATATACACAGACATGTTGTAGACATATATAATAAGAACTGTGCTCGCACAAATGAAAAATGAAATATAAGCAATTGTCATAATTATCGATGATGTAATGTGACTAACAAATATTAACATCCAATTGTGTCTTGCTCTTCTTCCGAGCACGAAGAACGAATTCATAATTTTTTTTTATAAGCCTCTAGCCTGGGGAGTAGGTGTTTGAGGTCATTTCCCCTCCCTTGCATGAACAAAATTTTTAAGGTTTTTTTGAGTAGCTACAAAATTTTTCTATTTATGCAAAAATGTCTTACTACACCTCTGAGTCTCAAGCCTCAATGATCGAGCGTTTATTGATTATTTGCCATGTGGAACTCATATATTTTATTCAACATCCATCAAGGTCATTGGCGTTAGATGTCACTATTCAAATTAAAGCAGTATGATGCATTTAAGTCAATATTTTAAGAGAAAACATATGCTTTTGTCATTTTTGTGGTTACTTACCGAACATGTCAAGTCACTCAGTAGGGACAGTGCAAAGAAAAATGTACGAAAATTTTTCATACTCGACATTAAAAAAATATATATATTTTTATTTATATTTAGTAATATGATCTCATTAATCCCTGCCTTTTTGTTAACTGTATGGTGCCTGGCTGTACGATGTTACGTGCAGTCATGAATCACCACCAAAATAATGTGTGTGTATAGTTTTTTTTACAGCGATTGTTATTCATTGCTTCCACATTCGAGGGTAATTTGCGAAATTAAAAATGCGGTTGGATACTCTTGGGGCGAGATGGGAGAGGCTTGAACGCATTTATATCGATAAAAGTCACGAAAATCTTGGCAATAGAACTTCAGTATCCAATTTTAGACCGTGACAAGACCATAAAAAATTAACCGTAGACCAATTTTCCAAGCTATAATTTACCAATTATTTCCAATTATGACACCACCTTCCATTTAAAGTGCCAAGTCAGTCAAATTAAAAATAGCAACCACTTATTTTGCAAAAAAAACATCCATCGACGATAAAAGAAAAATAATGTGTATGCACGTATATGAACACGCCGACCAACATCGATTGGAATGGAAGTAAAAAAAAAATTGGTGTAGTGAGAAAGTAAAACAAGTCGAAAGGAATTAAAAGTCAATAAGAAAAAGAATCGAGTAAGACAGATTAACAGTATCAGTAAAATGACCTTTAACTACACACTGGCTTGTTGAAAAATGATTCCAATATTTTCTATAAATTATCATTTCAGAGATCGAAGCCGATTTTTTCGGCTTAACTCAATTTTTGATTTTTTTGATAGAAAAAAGCCATTTGACACCCATTTCAAGTATTTAAATTGAACTTTACATGCTTTACTATGATTCTGTGTAATATTTTGTCAGCATGTAGCTGTAGTGAGCTCAGAATTTCAATTTAGCCGATTTTAAGCCGAAATTTAAGCCGATCGGCTTAAAATCGGCTAAATTTAAATTCTGAGCTCACTATAGCTACATGCTGACAAAATATTACACAGAATCATAGTAAAGCATGTAAAGTTCAATTTAAATACTTGAAATGGGTGTCAAATGGCTTTTTTCTATCAAAAAAATCAAAAATTGAGTTAAGCCGAAAAAATCGGCTTCGATCTCTGTATCATTTAATTCCATAAATTGCGTATGCATGAAAGATTTATTTTTTGCAGATTTGCGACTTCATACCCTTATTTTTACAGCTTTATTCGTCCATTTATGGCCTTTTCCTCTCGCATACACATTTTCATCTCCTTTTATAACTGACTTGCGGTCAATGTTAGATGTATTTGATACCAAAACAATTGATCGTAATGGACATGAAGTAAGCAATAGAAACAAGAATACATGCACGAAGAAGAAGCAACGATTAGATCATTCAGACCAAAATAAACCAAGACGAAGTAATTCATACATTTTTTTTTTATTTCTTCTTCTTTTGTTTCTGTTGCCTTGTTTTTATTTCATTCACTTGATGTCGTTCACTTCCATTCCGAAGATTCAACTTGCGTTGGATTATTAATTTGAAATATTTTCTTTCATTCGGTTCTCTTATGCTTCAATAGAAACTCTGTTTTTGAAAGTATTACGTCATTTATGAAGTTAGCCATCAAACAAAATCATTATACTATGTGCTTATAGCTCAGTAGTTTATAAATAATTTGAGTTAGTCATGAAAACCGTGAAGGAGTTTTTAGCACATTTTTTGCATAAATCAAGTTTCGTTGCAAAGTCACTTTTAGGACGGTCTGATTTAATATTTTTTCATAGTCATTTGGCTTCATTTAGATGCTAAATGATTTATCATGGCACACGCAAGTATCGAATTATTTTGATAGGTCATGAGGGGTTAAAAGCCATAAAAATGATGGAAAGATTGTATGGTAAATATGGGTATGATGATGTGTTTGTTGACTTCATATTTGTTTAATTTATTCGGTATTATTTGTAGATTAGAATTATGTTTTTTGAATGGGCATGGCAGTCTGTTGAGAATTTTTGTAAAAGGTTTCGTGTTATTAACCTCAATATCTTGATCCCATAAAGCAGTGTTGCTCAAATTTTGTTAACTTGTTGACCTTAAAAAGAAGTGTTTGATCTTATTCTTAGTTGATAAAACAGTCAAAGTTTGCCTGATATAGGTTATGTTTTCAAAGAATTCTAAAGATCCCCAAAAATCAAGGCGTGGAAACTATCCCAAATATCATATTTATCCCACATATCCCAAAACTATTCAACAAATTCCTGAGCATGTATGCACGATAATAAAGATATCCCAACGTATCCTTAGTGTATTGAAAGTGTAATTTCAGGATATGATGGGATATCTCAAGTCTAATGCATACAGGCTCAGGGATTATTTTGAATATTTTTGGGATATATGGGATAAATGGGATAATTTTCACGCCTTGCCAAAAATATTAAATCTAGTAAAACGATGCACTTGTAAACTCACACGGCACACAGTTTGTAAATCACTGTCGAAAAGTATAGAAAGTTTTGATGACTAGATTTTGCTGGAAAATAAGATTAGATCCCACCTGAATCAGGTATATAAAATTGACTATCTAGCTTAATCTGATGATGTGCTATAAAGTGCGTGACTATGACATGCATTTCATTTTGCTAGAACTTGGTATAATTCAGAACATATGATCATTATAAAACTATCCCGAATAGTACAGCATCAGAATAGCAAGTCAGTTAATCGAATAGAAATAAGGCGCTAAACTGGAATGAATCTGGCATAGTGCTGGCTTCAATTTAAGTCCAGCACAATGCCCGAGTCACAGCTTCAATTTAAATCCAGCACCATGCCAAGGTCATACCTGCTTGGTATCGGATTTCTATTCGATTAACCGACTTGTGCCATTCGGGTATATTGTACAACATATGAGTTAAATGCTAAAATGATCTAATGGGTATTAAATTCATCCCATTCGTATACAGTCTTCAAATATTAGCTTTTGTCTATTCTAATCTTGGCAGTTATTCAAATACAGAAACTTTGTACATCAAAGAAAAAAGAAACTAATCAGTTAAATCAAAAATCATAACCAGCGAGCATTGGGACAGAGTTTTAAAAGTTGCATCTATAAATCTGTCAAAACCAAGAGTGTGGAACTGATCAGAATGATCAAAATGATCAAAACTATGATATGCCAAGAGACGATGTCAACGTTGATTCGAAATAAGTTTAAATAGGGTTTTCAATCCCGGTCCAAATTTTCAATCCCGGGATTACGGGATTGAAAATTCTCGATCCCGGGATCCCGGGGAATCCCGGGATTAAGAGATTATTAAAGAAGCCTTAAAATTTTCAATAAATAAAACATAAAATCTTCGTTTGAGAGAAAAATTCTTATTTTATATTTGTTCTATGTATGTTTATTGTTAATGATTAAGCAAAAAAAGAAAATTAAGTACTAATAATCTTAAAATAAGGTTTTCATTTTGGAAAGGAGGCTTTAAGAAAGCAAAGGTGATCCAAAGAATCATCAAGTAGTCGAGTGCGAAGTTTACTACAAAAATAAAATTAATTTATTAACTATTGTGCACGTCAGTAGTGTTTTGTAGTTTTTAAAAGCAATAAATCAAAATTTCAATGATTTTGAATTATTTGTATTTCTTGCGAACTTACGACATGCCAAGAGACGATGTCAACGTTGATTCGAAATAAATTCAAACTCATTTCGAATGTTTTTCGAACAAAATTTGCCATTTCGAAAAACATTTTTTTATGAAAATTTCAATTTTTCGCAATTTTCGACTTCATTTTCTTGTTATTTATTAATTAAATAATTCTTTTATGTCTTTTAACATCAATTAATCGGTGATAAATAAAAAAAACATTAATTTAAAATGATTTTTTCAAAAAATATTCTAAATTTTTTGTTGTTGTTTACATTGAAAATAAAAATGTCATTAATTCACTTGCATTAATTGTTCAGTAAATCATTAATGATTCATTACATTTGAGCAGATTCATTTAGCAATTTGATGATGAAAAACCAATATTCAATCTTTTAATTAAAGATATTAGACATTAATAATTTAACGTGTAAAAAAAATTTGAATTTATGCTCGAAAATAAGGTACCAAAAAAATTCAATATCGAAAATAAGAAAATAAGTTACAACTGCTAACTCAATCCCGTAATCCCGGGATTGAAGCTGGTTTCAATCCCGGGATTGCGGGACCAAAAAAAACGCGGGATCCCGGGATCCCGGGATCCGGGATCCCGGGATTGAAAACCCTAAGTTTAAACTTGTTTCGAATGTATTTCGAACAAAATTTCGCAATTTCGAAAATAATATTTTTTATGAAAATTTTAACTTTTCGCAATTTTTGACTCAATTCATTTATTATTTAAGAATTGAATCCTTCAACTATGTCTTTTAACACTCATATAATCGTTTAATCGATGATAAATGTAGCAAACATTAGTTTAATATGATTGTTTTCAAAAATATTCTAAATTTTTTGTTGTTGTTTACATTGAAAATTAAAATGTCATTAATTCACTTGCATTAATTATTAAATAAATAAGTAATGATTCATTACAGTTGAGTGGATTTATTTAGCATTTTGATGATGAAAAACAAATATTTAAACCATTAATTAAAGAGATTAGACATTATTAATTTAACGTGTAAAAAAAATTTGAACTAATGCTCGAAAATAAGGTACCAAAAAAAATTCAATATCGAAAATAAGGACTCGTTGGCGTACCATAGGATCAAAAATGATCGAAAAATGTTCAAAATTGATTAAAATCTAATTAATCAGTTCCCTTGATCAAAACAATACCGAAAAGTTCTCAATCATCAATCTGTCAATTATCATAGACCTCTAAAACTTACTTAAAACCATGACAAAAAAATGCGCTTTAATTTATGCACCCCAAATTACTCATTTCTCAATAATCTATCCCTCTTCTTATTTAATTTAACTTCTCAATGTGAGCCCCTGATTACTCACCGTAGATTCTCAGAGACTCTTTTTTACCTGCATTGAAATCTCTTCTGAGCAATTTTTCATCTTCATTCCTCATCATATTTTATTGATAAACGATTCACATGAAGTGATTTCTCGGTATTTTTCGTACAGCAAACATAATAAAAATGTATGATAAAAAATATATATTGTTGAGGTTTGCTTTCAGAACTACGTGACGCTAGATTTTAGTAACTGACTGCAAAGTATCTTGTTATTCCAAGTCCAATCAATTCTTAAATAAATTGCAACAAATTATAGAAAGGAATCGCTCGATGATAACTTTTACAATTCGTGACATAATTTATCCAACTGATACTATGGCCTTGTTGATGGCACTTATAGACAATATTTATATGGTAATAGTTTAAAAATAAATTTCAATAATGCTCCAATGGCGGAAAGCACTTCATTGTCTTAAATTTATGAGAATTCATTTCCACACATGCTTCGGAAATGAAAGAATTTTCTCATTTCGATTAAAGCAATTACCAATTTGCAGCAGGTGTGACATGAGTTAATGAAACGATGTCTTTTTAAAAGCTGATTGAAAAAATAAAAGTTTTTTTGGATATTGAGAAAGTTTCTCAAGCGAGACTTTTAAGGGGCTTTTATTTCGAATTAAATTATGGATAATCACGATTAATAGTATTATGGATGACCACCCCGACTGCCAATTTAACCGTTACATATAATTTAAATCTAACCGTAACTTTTTGCAATTCATACAAAGCTTATTGAAAGTGTGTGATGATGGAGACGATTGGGAAGTTCCTTTATTCTTTTTATTCTCGAATAAATCAAATGGGGTTGTTTGTCAGTGAGGTTTAAAAATTTTTAAGGTATCGTTTGATGATCGATACCATACTGAACGTCGACCAATCGGTTAGTATACCTAGAACCAAGTGTTAGCTACTTCACATAGGCAGTCATATGATTTCGAGGATATAAATTCGCTTGGCATCAGTATTTAACCATTCAATGTCCGACTATCAAATTCGACACTTAAAAATTTATCTTCCATGAAAACCATGAGACTGGCTGAACGTTAATATTTATTCTTGATATAATAGGAACGTCACTTACGCACAAACTCTAGATTTTTATTGACTTTGAAGATTTATTGATGCATTTGTAATCCTTTAAAATGTCATGATTGTAATCCTTGACTGTGAAATTATAAATTTTGAAACATGCCCACAGATTCACTTGAAGATCCAAAGCAAATAATTACCAATCATTAGACTTCAAAACAATTACTCACAGCTTAAAATGACATTGAAGCCAATCCAATTGATAATATACACAAAATTACTCCACTTAAGTAATCAGTGCATGCTTAAAATGCTATTACTTAAATAATTTTGCAACTCATAAAACTATTACGGCAGTAAATTGATTGAAAGCATCTGCAAGACTTTGATTACTTCCACATTTCTTTAAAAATCACATAACATTCGTAAATACAAATCCAAAACTTTTTTTTATTTCCATTTAATCTCACATAATAATTTCTTATCCAGTCTGTCTTCAAGTCATAAATCAATATAATGACCTATGACTACATAAACTATCTTTTACATAGGAACAAAGAAGCTTTGCTGATAAGATCGTCTTAAATCATCATCAGACGTGTCAGTAATTTTCTTATTCTCATTCTTGGCTCTCAACTGTTCTCGATATTCTCGAAAACTTATTCGATCACTTCCTTCGCGTTGCAAATTATTTTCGACTGTAAGTTTGTTTGGTGCTGCATAAGATCGTGAAATTTCTGATTTCTTATTTTCATAACTTTTAGCTGTTCCGCTTTTTAAGACTGATTTCGGTTTCAGTTGCGGTAATGGACTGGCAATTCCAATAGGTTTTTTGGAAATTAAGTCAATAGTACGATTGTTATTAATCTTATTGTTATTATTATGTCCATTACGTAAATCGATTTCAACTCTAATCGGCGCTGGAGTCGTTGACTTTTTATTTGCATTAGTATTGTCAGATTCATAAGAAGGATAATCACGTTGCTTATTGCGAGTATTTCGATCTACGGATGGTTTTATTATACTTGTTAGACGCTGGTTATTACCATTTTCGTATCGTTGCGAAACTTTGAGTGGTCGAAGAGATTTTTTATTATTGTCGGAACTTGAGACTTGCATTGAACTTTTCCTTGTTGCTATACCACTGTAATAGTCTTTGTCCTCATCCATCTTACACTGAACTTCGGCTTCACGCGTCGTTTTCTTTCCGCTTGACATAAAGTCTTTGAAAATGTTTTTTGATCTCTTTATGGTTGAACCTTCACGATCGGATAAACTATGACTAGATGACGGTGCAGGACTTGGCTCCTTTGGATCTTTACGTCGCCATAAATTCTTTTCAATTTTCTTAATAAAACTTTCGACTCTTTTTGGTTTTGATGACTTTGTGAATGTGCTGACATTGAGATTCTCAGATTCCTGACTCAATAGACTCGCCCGTTTTTTGTCCATTTTTCGGTAAGTATCTGTATTAATGTAAAGCGATCTCTCTTCGGCGGTGGTGCCTAAAAAGGACAAAGTTTATTTAACTTTTAATGCTCATTTATTTAAAAATAAATAATAATAAGCTTTCGTGGGTGGATATGGACTAAGCGCATATTTTGTACAAAATGATCTTTTAAATAGCTTCCAAATAATTTTGTGTCATTGATATTTCTCATAATTGAGTAATGACCTAAGACATAATTTTTACATTGAAATAAAAGCTGTTTGACCATATCTGATTGTTTAATTGCTCAACACCAAATAGTCCCGTTTATGACATTCAAAGATATTTAATTAACAAGTCATGAGCACAAACAATCGTCCCAGCTAACAAATAAGTAGTAGCAATAAAGTCAAACCTCTTCTCTTTTCCTTTTCCTTTTCCTTTTTCGTGTAGGTGGCATAATTTGGATTGTCATCTTTCTCACTTGTTCCATTGTGATTGTTTGTCGATTTCTTTTTAGATCGCGTATATGTGCTATAATCACCCTTTTCATACTCTACATCACCATCAATATCGCCTGTATCATGCTTTATTTTCTGTTGTTGTTGCTCATCTGATGAGTCGTCATGATATTTAACAACAAAAGTCTCACTTCGAACGATACCAGATTGATTATTGTTGCCGTGCTTTTGTTGATAATTTGGTGGCTTCTCATGCTTTGTGAATGTATCATGACGATTTAAAGCTGTTGTTGATGAGGTGATTTTGAGTGGTTCTCGAGATGCTGCTCGACTAATGACGGTCGATGGATTTTTGTGTGGGCGATACGATGGAGATGAATTTAATTCCACACGCACGACATTTGTGTCATAGTCGTTATGAATTCTATTATAGGTGTACATTTTCTATATCCTACTTCCGATTAAATCTAATTGCGTCCCTAATTTACACAGAATTATTCACTATAAATCCAATAATAAATTGCGAAATAAGAAGCAATAAATGTCTTAGAAAGAAAGAAATGAAAAAAAATAGACGAAAGAGATGTTCGTTGCTCGCCGGCTAAATGTAGACTGACATGAATCTTGTTGGCTACGAAGAAAAGTGTTTTTTTCGCTGCTTTGCTTTTACTGCTGCTAATTTTTTTTTTCGTTCGAACCAAAAATTACACCTTTGCAAAAAAAAATATAAAAAGGTATTTTAAAAATACTTTTTTATGGTAAACATTGTCAGAGACGTATTGGATGAATGGATTTCTAACTATTTTTAGCATCGATCGTGTTATTAATTTGTTTGTGTTGTCTTTATTTCTTATTTGAGTCATTGAGTGCACATAACACAACACCTTTTATGGATTACTGAATAGAATAATTACGCAAACCAAGACACTTATAATCTGATCGATGAGGGGTCATTCATAGTAGATGTCTGCTACTTAGACTCTAAATTCCTATTGGAACAAAGCTGTTGTATTTGAAAATATAAAGGCCCTTTCCAGGAACACGTTCTTGAGGTAAACTCTAGCTATAATAGAGAACACAACTAGAGAAATGTCTAGAAGCCAGGTCCTGGTCCCCATCCTACCTTAAAATACAGAACCTCATAAGTAATCAACCCCTCACTGTCAAGGCACTCGTATCTAATTTATAGAGAATCAAAACGTCATCAACAAACAGAAATAAAAAAGTTGAATGAGAATTTTTATTGTCTGATGCAGTTTATAGGAAAACAAGGCACGATTATGGTGTATTAGTCGAATCCACTTTCGCGGGTTGTGAATTAATAAAAATATTTAAAATGTATATAGAATATTCAAATTGTATTGCAATCAAACAACTTTCAACAGTAACACGGTAACGGCACCTAGTCATACATCCACATCATTTTTATAGCTTATTTTGTTTTTCGATTGTTGACTCATTCTTAATCGTTGCAATCGTAGAAGGCAGTCGATGAAAAAGTATCAATAGGGAAGTGAAAATAGTAATTGTGTAAAAGCATTCAGTAGTAAAAAGTAAATCAAGTAAGAAACTTGTTTGTGCATGTTGATTAATTTTTGGTTGTTTATGGGATCTTATGGTCATGTCGACTAATTTGTTGTAATTCAAATGAGTGAGATTTGTGACTTTTTCAAGGATGAATGTTGAACTTTTGAAATTTTATTTAATTTTCATGGTCAACAATGTTTGATGAGTTTTGAGAGGTTGGGACAAGTAAGCATAAGTGTAGTCATCAGATATGAAGCTCAAAAAAAATTCAAAAATCATTCTGCTAACAAGTTTTCTCGTAAACTTTAAATTTGTGCAAAACTTAACAACAAATCCCAATTTTTTATGATTAATTCCAAAAAGGCTTGTTCTCATTGCTCATTTTTGTGTATCAACATTGTGTATTAAAGTCCATAATTAAGGTAATATTGGCATACACAGCTAGATCTACTGATACTCGCATTCAAAATTTCTCACGGAAACTCAAAAACATTACAAGAAATTACACCATACCAAATGAGGACTACACTCGATGAACATTCACTGATATCAACCGTACGAGATGAAAAATTACGTTGCTGATGGAAAATTGTGATGCAATTGATTTAATTTAACTTTGTATTGCTGATTGTTAACAGTTAATTTTTTTTTCTCTTGTTCCATTCTTCTTGTTTTAATCTGTTCGATTCCTTGCGTAAATGGTAATCAATCATTATTTGTGAGCTAAATAGCTTCTTTTCTTTCTTTCTTATTTTTCTCTATGTGGGTTGTTCATAAATGATGTGCTAAATGATTGGAAAGGGAGTACGGGGTCTGTTGTGCACTATAAGTTCTAGTGTTAAGGTCGACTAGTAATGTTCTTAGTCATCCTTTAAGATTGACAAATTATAGAGTTGTATGAAACTCAGATGAAAGATACTTCCAGACAAAAAACAAATGTTTTCATGATGGGGGTCTAAAATCATATTATTCGACAGACGTAACTTATAATCGACTCCCCATCTTTGTCTCACTTCTTTTTACAATTTCTGAATTCCTTGAAAATGATTTCCTTTTATGGAATGTTGTAATAATAATATAAAGAAATGAGATTCATGTTATATGTTATGTGAAGGTTACATTAACCTCTCTTTTTCTCATTCTCTTCTGCACATACTTACAAATTACAATTTGCTTTACAATTTCTTTCTTATTTTTGTTATCCATCAAAATCGTATGATTAACAACTGACTATTCCTTTTCTTTCCAGAGTCTCATAATCAACGAGATCGACGACGGTGCAGATTGCGAAAATTGTCCGAGTCAGTGTCCGGGATTTAAAGCACACGAATGGAGGTGAGTGGATTTAAAAACAGATGTAAACAGAGAGAGCTTTTAGTGCTTTTTTTTTTAAATATTTACTATTTTTTTTCTCTCACAAATTAACACGTTGTTGCATATTCGCGCTCACACATTACATTCATACATAATACGATAATTTAGCGATGAAACAATACCGCACACAATCGCAAATGCCGCTCATAATCTCCGAGTGAGAAGAAACAGTTGTGTTGTGTGTTGCTTTTTTTTTGATTCTTTTTCCACGTGCGAATTTTCATTTAGTTTTCATTCAAACATCGCTTGAGGTTGTCGCATGTGAGGAAGTTGAAAATTAAGTGAAGAAGTTTTTCTGTCTTTCCTTTCTTTTCTTTTTTTTTGAATTAATTAATCGAGAAAAAAAAATATTAATTTTGTGAATGAAAATTGAAAAATTAAAATTTTTTGAGGTGCGAATCGAGAATGAATCTCGAGAGAAATTAATTAATGATTTTTTGTGTATAAAAGTTCTATAATAACAAAGTCATAAATTTTTTATATCGTTCATTAGTGAATAAAGTTTCCATTTTGTGTGACTGAATAGTGAATTTCATAAGACACAGTGACTTAAAATGTTTTATTAGATTTGAGATCAGTGAAGGAATTGAAAATTTTAGTGAATTTTATCCATTAAGTAAGAATATGAATGAAAAATGAAACATGAAGGGCAATTTTATTGGCATCAACGTATATACAGAGTCATTATGAGACTGTCTATTTGGACATCATAAAACAAAAAAATAAGGAAATTTATGTCATCAGACGTCGTGCTTATTTAAAGTATACCAATGTGTACATAAATGTTTGATAGCCACATGTACTTTGCTCTACCTCTTCGTACGGCATGTTGTGTGTAAACAGCAATGCCGATGAATGAAAATTTCCGGAAAAAGATTCAGCATAGAATGAAAATTGCTTAGATAATCCTGAAATAGATATTTTTTTTTTCTGTGGAATTGCTTAAATTTTATTCATTCCATCTTTCAGCATTGACGATAGCTGTAGATAAATTAATTTCACGTTTCAAATGCACAGTTTTTCCCCTCTCACTGCTGTTGCTGATTTTTCATTAGCGAGAAAGAGATTTGGGAAAATATTTGTACATGCGAGACATATTTCATGTCGCTATAAATTTTTCATGATTTTTATCAATCGATTTGTCATAAAATACGTGTAATAAAGCCTGTGGTAGATGATGATGAAAGTAGGAAATTAATCATTTTAGGCGCATTCTTACCTATCACAATATTTTATGGCAATCTCGGAATTCCAAGTAAATGCGGATGGATTATTCACTTATGATGTTCATTATTAAAAAGAAGGGTGGTGCTATATACAAAAGGAACATTTTTCTATGACAATTTACAGACATAAGGATAGTTTTGATGGACATCATAAGTAAACAACCCCAATATGCTATCTGATCTAATGAATATTTTATTTTTGTGGAATTTTCATATCAAAAATCTGAATAAATTGTCCAATAAATAAGAATGATAAGCCGACAATCTGACTGATAATATAAATCTGTAGCTGATAAATCGCTTAGGGCAATTGCCTTTCTATCAACTAACATCGTAAAATGCAAATATTTTTCGTGTAAAATTGGCTACAATCACTCATCTTTAGCAAAATAAATTAATCTGGATTTAAGAAAATTGACTTTAATAGTCCATTTAAATGTCACATAAAAATACAGTCAAAATCTCACTGACTGTGGAAAATTAAATATATACGACCTTAAAACTGAATAAAAAATTTTATTCATATAATTTATTTCATTCTGCCCAGTAAGAAATGTGGACGTCATCAGCATGCGAAAATGAAATTAAAGATTTTTTTCAATTTTTTTTTCGGTTGAGAAGCGGATGCTCCTAACCAGCCTGTGGTCAATCTGACTGGCATCACGTCAACACATCTAACTCGCTACTATCGTGAGCGATGTGGAATTAATTAAAGCTAGTGACAAACGAACATTCTAAGCCTCAATGTGTGAAAATAATTTATTCTATATTTGGAATTTGTTCCTCTATGAAAGTATTGAATTTCTATTAGATTGAAATAAATTGTATGCCGAATTCTCAATTCCTTTGATTCATTAGATTTAAGAATTGATTGATGTTCAGATGAGTGTTCATGAAATTTTTTTGTTAAATTAAAATTTTTAATTTTGTGCTAAAAATAACAAGAATGTCAATTTAAAAAAAAAATCGAGAATTAGAAAGAGCGAGTAAGAGAATGAAAAAATAGCAAACAGCCACAAATTGAATTAGTAAAACAGATGTTCGTGTTCAGTATAGAATCGAAATTTCATGGGGATATTGCAGTTGTATGTGCAATCTAAAATTTCTCACTTATCTTTGCCATTAGCACAATGTGAAAATTGTCAGTTCTTAAATTACCTTTAAAAGGTATCATGAAGATGGCGATATTAAATTATTGATTGTGTAATTTAACACTTTTGCGATGATGAGAACAGCCTTTTGTCTTTAACTCAACCTTAATTCATTAAAACAAATAAGTTCTGCAGGGTTGGTGAATTAGTTTTTGGAATATTGAAGTTTTGAGAGAGCTTTAATGGATTGTCAATGAGCCAAGTGACAGTAAAAAGTCCTATGGCTTTAAAATAGGTGTCTCATTGACAATGGCTTCATACGTCATGATCTAAGGGATGAATCATTAAAGAATTGATCAAAAAAGGTATGAAAGGGTTGCTAGTTTTTGGTTTGACTCTAGAGAAAGGTTGCTAAGGCTAAGTGGGAGACCTACTTTAGATAAAAAGTGTAGCTTATCGATTTTCCAATTTAGGCGCTTAGGGTAACTTTACCAGATGCTAAACAGTGTTATGGTCTTAATCTCCATTGATGAAGTTTGACTAATACCTGGTTCTAGTGATCAACATTTATTAGCATATTAAAAGTCTATAGACATAATCCATAGCTCTACATAAATTGAAATGCAACAGCTTTAATCGATCTACTGACACATTATTTATTAAATCCAGAAACAATCACAACCTTTCATCGTCACACTTTTAATTCCATAGATTGATATGAAAATCTGATATAAATATTCAATCAACAAACGCGAGGACATGTGAGGATATTTATTAAATGCATCATAAATGACACGATAAGCTTCATATCACATCACAACAATTTATCATCACTAGCTTGATTTTAAATGCTGAAATGAAAATGATAGTCAGTATATGACACCCCTAGTTGAGGCAGTAATTATTTGATATATATGTGAGCATTTGCAATTTAATGACGCTAAAATTTATCGACTGTAAAGTTCCCTAAAATGCCAACTCTGAATATTTTAATGTCAGAACTTCTTACTTTACAAACACTGTATCTTATTCACTCCCTCAATATACTATTTTTAAAAATAGAACAGAATAAAATTCGTGGCAATAAATTTTGTTTCCCGTCCTCCTTCATCAGAAAAGAAAGACTTTCCTTTCAATGAGAATTGGAGTCATAGTGCTGATAAGATGTCGTTGTCATTGGTGTGTAAAATGAGACTTTGGAATATTTACATTTTACTGGATGACGTCTTCGTTTGCTCATCCATTGTTATTGCTACTCATTCAGCAAAATTTAATGTACATCTTGGTGATTAATTTACTAGAAAATAATATTCTTGCCTTTATTTCATCAAATAAAATTATACGAGCGATTATTTATTTACGTTTTACATGCACTCACCCGATTCAGTCCATACAAATGTCTCGGGTGTAAACAATATTTTTTTTTTTCATTTAAACAGTCTGTTGGTTTTGTCACATTACAAAAATGTGCTATTTGTGACTTTGTTGTTGCCTCAAATTGTGCATTGTCTTAATACTATTGCACATACTCAATACTTTTTTTCATACAAGTGAAAAATGTGTTAATATGTATTGTGTAAGGTTCTCACATGTTTCGAGACTGTTAGAGGTACTGAAATTAAAAATATTTTGTTGGAATTCTTGGCATTTTTATTTATTGCTGATGCATTGAAAGTGAAGTTTTTGCGTTGGAAATTTTTTTGATGTTCGGGAACGATCGCTGACTGCGTAATGAAAAATATCTCCTGAATCGCAATGCTTCATTAAGTCATTTGAATATTTAGAGGCATACTACCTGAATAGCACGAATCGGTTTACTCTATCTGGTGTGAATCTAGCATGGTGCTGGACTCAAATCAGATTGGTACCGGATTTCTATTCGATTAACCTACTTGTGCTATTCGGGCTAGTTCATTATGGTTCATATTTTAAAAACTCCTGAGCATCTACACTAGTCAGAGTCAAATTGTGAATTTATGAAAAAACTATGGCACATAGAAACTCAATTTAAAGTTAGATTGCTCGAAATAGCTTTTGAAACTGAATTCTGGTCTATAGGACTGTCTTAAAGGTACCATCTATGTGTCATCGCTTTTATTAGATATGATAGGACATGATATTCAAGTGAATTGATAGGGGGTCGTTCACTTATGACGTCCGAAATTACCAGTCATTTTTCAAAAAAGAACAATGGATTTCTATTGTTCTTTTCTTGCTGACCCCCCCCCCCCCTTGCTAAAAATGCACTTCGGCTCTAATTAATCTACAATTATACTCTCACAATAGCTTATATATGATGACATTCATGAGAAAATTGAAAAAAAAAATCGGAATCACAATAATATAGCCCATAAAACCCCTATTTCCACTTTACATCTGATTCATGAGTAATCGTTTGAATTTAGGGACATGATTGACAGACAAATTACTTTTTATTGATTAATATAGTTTCCATTCACTCCATACACACCTTCTTTTTTTTTCATACACATTATTATATCAATTTTCAAGAGATCTTTCACATTATCAAGAAATAGAATGGATTACATTGTATTGGTGACTGCAAGACTCAGTAAAAAGTTGTGTACTTAACAAAAAAAAATCTCTTCTTTCTCTTCCGAAAAGCTGACAAAATAATTACTTTAGTGTCTCAAATGTCAATCTCTTACTCAGCAATACTATAAAATATATTTTATTCGAACTGAAATCGTAACACAGATTATTTATTTTTTTCAAGTCTGTTTTATGTTCACGTAATATGTTTTCCAGGGCAGTCGATCGACTTTCAATTTATTATTCGTTGATAAGAGTCAATTTTAAGTTGCATACATAATTCAATTTCAAGCCTCTGTGGTTGTTTATTGTATTATTTACTGTATTGCTGTGTGCGATTTAAATTTTTTATTTATTTTTCCATTCCATTATCGTTGCTGCTGGTGTATACTCGAACTTAGTTCTGTTACTGAGTTTATTTTGAAGTTTTTTAAAGACATATTTTTAATTACTTTTTGGTGTCATAATAAAGTGAAAAAAACATTATTTTAAGCTATACAAATGTGTCAAAGATTATTAATTATTGCAATTAAAATAAAATGCAATTAGTGTCAAAAAAAACATGAAAGGAATCAAAATTAATTGAATGCCGCATATGATAACTTTTTTGGAGACTATGGACACATTTTTCTATGAAGCCTTATGTTAATTGAAAAGTTCAAGTAACCTTATCCTACATATTTTGCTGAATGCATTGAAAAAAATCGATCAATTAGGCTCTCAGTTTCGTAATGTTCCATTGTGTCGCGTTGTGGTAGATAGGAATTGTAATTAAAGTAATTCATAAACAATTGATTATGCTTTGTAATGGAAATTGTAGCTAGTTTTTAACAAATAATTGAATTATAGACTTCAAGTTTATCAAATTATAGTCCAACAAGTAGTCTTCAAGGAAAAAAAGTCATATCTTCTTCCTTTCATTTTGGATTAAAACTTTTGTCCTTCTACATGCACTTGACCCTCAAACGTCAGTGCTATAATATAATTCAATTGACTTTAATGTGTGCTAAACTAATTTCCATTTTGAATGAACTCAAATGAGTAATAATAATTTAAAAAAACAAACAAGAAAGAAGAAAAAGTAAATTTTAAAATGCAAATTAAGAGTCTCGTAGACACAATGGAGAATTTGCGTAAGCAGATGGTAAATAAACAAGAAAATACAGACAATGTGAATTATAGTGAAGAAGTTCAACCAGTCGTTGTGCGTAAGACACCAAAATTTCCATCACGAGAACGTCATTTAGCGATACGACGAAAGAGAGCACCAGATAGTCCCAGTTCACAGAGTTCTGAGAGCATTGATTTAAGCCCTGACTCAAGTGATTCCGCATCGTGTTGTTCGTGCGATAACGCGTAAGAAAATATTCTGATAATGTTTTTAAGTATGCATCATCATTAAGTTTAAACTTGAAATTATTTTATTGGAAGCAAAATCTTTTTTCCCGCTCATTGATCTTTTTTTCTTGTGTAGATCTGGAATGTGGAGAAAATTATTCTTTTATATCTCTCGCATTTATTTTATATACATTAAAATTCAGGCGCATATGCTAGAAATATTAATGAATAATTTAATGCCAGATTCTCTAATTAAGTATATATTGTAGATTAATGAACTGTTTTTCAATGATTTATGCCAGACTCGACCCTATAATAAGATTGGATCTGCGTGCGCAAAAAAAACAACCAAGAGAATTTTTATTGAAAGTTGTAAGTTAAAATGAAATGGTGGGGATGTACGAGATGCATTTGCTGCTAATTGTAGGCCATTGATTTATATTATACGAGCTAGTCTCAATGAGTCTTCATAATCTACAAATAGCTATGTAGGTGTGCTTGGTAACTGCTCAAATGATCATGTTTATGAGACAGTTTCTTTGGGGGTATTTGGGGTGTCTTACTCGCTGTAAATTCTATTCTATTTCTGCAATAAAGCAATGTTGTCCAAACTTTCTGAGCCGTGGCACACTTAAGGGGTTATCCATGACTGAAGTCACATGCGGCTTGTGTCATTTCAAAAAAAATCTACGTAACTCTAGTGTGCCGCAGCACACAGTTTGGACAACACTGCCTTAAGGTAAAGCTGTTGATTTTACAAGTATATAAAAGGGCACTCTAAGGCAGGAATGAAATTCGATTTACTTTTTTATCGAAAATTTATCTGAGATTAGTCTAGAAACTAGATCCTAGTCTTGATATCTGTAGAATTTAGAGTCTGGAAATAAGGAGTTGTTCTGAGTCCAGTGGTTTTGATTTCTGGAGTTACATTTGGAAGCCAACCTATTTTTATAAAAATTTCAAAACTGATTAATTGCTATAATTTAAATATTTTAGTCCATAATGCTCAGACTTAACTGAACAACCCATTCTGAATGCCCCAAAACTACAAATTTGATTTCAATCTTCAATACAATAATCGACAATCATTCAGAATTTTCGTCAACAAGTCTTCAATATTAAAATAGAACATTCGACACTGACCCACTAAAGTGAGACAAAACGACGAGACACAACTGCTTTAATCCACGGCTAAAGCCATGCTGATCATTTATATTTATTTATTTTTGGTTCATAAAAAAATCAAGTCATAAGAAATATATTTATTTTTCTAACTTGATCGTTGGACATAAAACAACAAACTTTCCTTCACTTTTTATCTCAATTTCTTGTTATTTTGTTTATTTTTACATTTCATTTAAGACGTCAAGCAAGAAAAATTTTGAATTTTTTTTTTCCCACTAAGTATTGAAAAATGCGTGCCTGTATCATTTAATTATCGTTGTATAAAGTAACCAAATATGAGATCAAAGATATCAAATTGTGTTTAAAGAATCAGCAAGTCCAACGCATGAAGGGAAATAAAGGTAAAGAAGAAAAAAACATGTGGCGCGGGAAAAAGGAAGGAAAAAAATCATTAAGATGAGTGCGATCTACGTAAGAAGGAAATGTAAACAAACAAGGTGTTGAATCATCTGTGCCAAGCTGGAGAGAGCGGTGTTGTTTCACGTGCGCAAAAAAATATTCTCTTCGTACACAGCAATGCTGTTTGTATATATAAAAGAGAGAGAGGAATGAAAAATATACAACAAATGTGCTGGGGGGCACATCAAGGCAACAACAACAGCTATTTTCCACCTTCTCATTCTCTTGTCTCTCAATTTTTTTCTTTGCCATTGTAGTAGTGACTAATAATAAACTATCGCGCCGCTTATAAGCTTTTGTCGACAGCTATGAATTACATTACATTAACAAAAAAAAAATTTGTTGCTGCTCGATGAGTTTTCCGCTCATTATGAACGAAAAAAAAAAATTTTCTAGCCAGTCGCAGATTTTTAGCTAAAGCGTAAATGTCTTCATTTTCATTACTGATTTAACTTTCGTGTGGTGCGGTTGAGAATTGGCAGGAAATAAGAATATATTTTAAGTGATAACAATATTTTTTAATTATTGAATAAATTCCTAGTCAAGTGCCGGTTTGTGGTCTTGTGCTTTATATTTTATGAATCTGAATTCTTGAAGTGTCTGTTGGCAGAATGACTAAATTGTTTAATTTTGGAACATCAAAGTATTGAAAATATTTTTCGGCATAAATCATATGCCAAATAAACATTAAATAATTGTGGTTGTTACTGATAAGAACATTTTGTATCTATAGAAAGAAAAGTGAGGGGAATTTAATGAGATGCTGGGTTATAAGTCCAGGTACAAAAATCGTGCACAGAAAATTATAAGTCCAGAAAATCAAAGTCAATAAAGGTTTATAAGTTCAGATACAAATTGCACCTGGACTTAAAAACCTCACGTGCAGTTTATAATTCCAGGTACAGATACAGCTGGAATTATAAACTGCACGAGAGGTTTTTAAGTCCAGGTACATTTTATATCTGGACTTATAAACTTCACGTGTGGTTTATAATTCCAGAAAATTTAAAAATTTTACTTATAACCTCCCGGTGCGATTATAAATCCAGATACATTTTTCTGGACTTATAATCCTTGAAAATTATTTGATATTATTTTAAATTTTTTCATTTAAAGTAATTCTTCACATGCATTTTTGAAAACTTCACAAAAAGAATTCACATTTCTCTGATTTTTTTTCCTCTAAAGTACCATACAGGGGCGTAGCCAGGGGGGGGGGCATAGGGGGCCCGGCCCCTCCCCTACGAAAATCTGATAATTGTTTTATTAAGTATTTTTAGAGAAGAACCAGTTAATGTAGAGGAAGTGATGAAAAAAATGTCAAAATCAGCACGAAAAATTATATTTAATGTATGAATAATGAATTAAATATTTAAACTTATGAAGAATGAATATAGCTTTAAGGATACAAAATAACAATTTTTTTAATTTTCGAAAATGGGCCCCCCCCTTAAAAATTTTCTGGCTACGCCCCTGGTATCATATAGGGTAAATCATTTTGAAATTTGCGTGTTTTGAGACTTGGAATTTTCAAACGCTTGTAACTAATCGACGAATTGACATTGTGACCTACTAATGGTCTTGAAATGTTAAGAGTCGTCGATATTTTTATTTTTGATCATGTAAAGGTTTTTGCGCTGCATCAATTCAGAGAAAATAGATAGATAGATAGATAGATAGATAGATAGATAGATAGATAGATAGATAGATTGGTTTATTTACCTTAAGGTATTAAAAGTACAAAAGTATTGAGATTTATAATTCTCGACATAAAACAAAAAAATTAAGAAAAACATGATAACAAGCAATGTAAAGAATGTGACTGTGTGGTTGTTAAAAATTTTAACTTAAAATGTAGCCTAAGTGGCTAGATATGAAATATTTTGTAAAAATATGTCTCATGGCACTGTAAATAATCCATCGATAAATAGCCCTTAGCGAATCGAATCCATTACTGCTCTTAGTGATAGTCACGCCAAAGAACAATCCTAGATAGAGGCAAAAACGTTCTTAACCACTCACTGGTGTTTGCACACCTAAACTTTAAATGAAGTAGAACCGCCGAAACAGTTTAAAGCGAGCAATGCGCTTACAGTACAAGTACACCAAAACATTTGCTGTTTATGAGCCTCATTAAACTACAAAATTACGTCCGCAGACCTGTTGCAAGCTTAATGGCGTGAGTGAGAAACAGCATAACTACAGACAACCCATTATCTGTTAAGATCGGAAGTTGAAAGTTTGTCTGCCACTCTACATCAGGGACGGAACCAAGTCGCTAACTAAGACCTAGAATCTCATGGAAGAAAAGCAGTATGACACAAATATCGACGGAATTCACAGAAATGCCTAGAGAGTTTAGAGTTTAGTTTAAAGGAAATTTCTCCTTGACGTATTCTTTTGCGGCCAATTGAATTGTTGTTTGCCTTTCCTGGGCTATACCTCTTCGATAATTCTGGAAGTCGTTGAAAAGTTTAAGTCCTTTGTAAAGCAAACTGTTCTGCGATCGTGCTTTCGTATAGTTAAGAAGAATGTAATCGTTTGCACGCCTTGTGGGATAGCGATGAGCATCAGTTGCTTTCTTAAGCTTGTAGAAAAGATAATCAGGAGACTCAAATTTAGTTAATCTGTGAAAAAACATTAAAACGTTAAGAAAATTGACATTTAAGTTTTCATTTTGAAATTTGCGCAAAAATATTTTGAAATTTGCGCACTTTTTTGATAGTAATCTTTACCCTATACTATTTAGCATCAAATTACAGCTGTACTAAAATTACAGCTGTAGATTACAGATGAACTTACGTCGTTACGTTAAAATCAATTTACAGCTGTAGTTTAATGTGTATAAGTAAAAACAGTTGTAAATACAGATGGTGTTTATAGCTTAGACAAGTGCTTAGCTGTCCTTACAGTTAATGTAATTTTTCGTAAATTCTGCTGGTTTTGACTATGATTTTACCTTTTACAAAAAGATTGAATAGAAAACAAGGTACAGTAACGTGTAAAAATTTATAAAAATCACATTTTTCGATCTGGATGTTAACATTTAAAATATAAATAATACAAGAATAAAAAGGGGAAACAAAATCCTCTTTGCTTTGTTTTCTCACAGAATGCAAAAAACTGATTTTTCAATCTGAACAAAACCAATAGATTCACACGTGAATACGGTATGAATATAAAAATTTGAAATTATATCAAATAATTTTCAAAGATTATAAGTCCAAAAAAATGTATCTGGATTTATAATCGCACTGGGAGATTATAAGTAAAATTTGTAAATTTTCTAGAATTATAAACCACACGTGAGGTTTATAAGTCCAGATATAAAATGTACCTGGACTTAAAACCCTCTCGTGCAGTTTATAATTCCAGCTGTATCTGTACCTGGACTTATAAACTGCACGTGAGGTTTTTAAGTCCAGGTGCAATTTGTATCT